AGCTTGAGATCTCCCCTGTTGGACTGGAATATTCCTGTTGGAATATTATTGAGCATGATGGAAAGACAAACATAGGAATATTTCTATTTTCAGTCTATTTACTATGAGTCGTGAAACACAGAGAAGGTAGGTAGCACTCAGGCAAGATTTATCRGAATACAATTCCGTACAAAGAAGTAGCCTCTATGTAAGAGACGTGCCCAGGTGTCTAGGATTAAGGGCATAATGTAGAATTGTATGGAATTCTATGATTGTTGTATTGAATCAGGATAAATTTGTGCACTCTCCCTGCCCAAGACCTGCTGTAATTAGAGGATGTGTATAAAGACACAGCAATCCCAGTGGGAGCYATAGGGCATGTATATACTGCAAACACTAGGCATTTGCTCCCTGTGCACCTCACTTCTACTGTTGTCCCTGGTCGTATCTTTTTGCCAGTAATGGTGCATACCAAAACTAATGCAGCCCTATTCAGATGCATATATCTCTGCATTAAAATAATTTAAATAAGCATTTATCGAAAGATTTACAAGCACCTTGATGCCTTGAATGAAACTGCATTTTTATGCTTAGTGAACTTTTGTTTTTTCTCCATTTTTCTCTTTGCAGTGTAACACTAAAACATTGAGTTCATGCCTTTTTTTTCTTTTTAAAAAACGGTTTTCCACTCATGGGCTTCTAACTGACACCGATATAGAGATTTGCCTCTTTTGTTCATGCATGCAGTAGCAATTCTGAGCTGGATTAGGCAGCTCAGTGCTGCAATCTGCAACCTAGAGATGCAAAATATGGATTGCATGCTGATAGATATATTTTACCAATTTTTTTCTTTAAATATGATGATATAAATGCCACATCTGCTTAACTTTCCAAGCATTGAGAGTTACAATTTTATCTTGACATATAAATATATTTCAATAACCTAAAAAAAAGGGTGGAAATCTAGGATTCCACTCAGCCCATACAGAACAGCAAGAAGAGACCTGCACTAAACTTATCTTGCAATAAAAAAGGGGAACAATGCTACTAAACCTAATTTTACTTTTTGCTTTTTTACAGACTTTTATCTAATAAATAAGACTGAACGCCTGCCCTCAGTGCTGTCAGTCTGTAAACTCAGCTTATGGCTGATAAGGCAGAATGTTGAATGTAGTGCCAATGGAAGACCACCCTAAAATTCACTGTCTGTTATAAAAGTTTTGCATTCTTGTTCAAGAGACTTATCAAAATTTCTTCAAAAATTTTGAAAAATTCACAAATGTAGTGAAGAGTAGTTTCCTCCACTACTGTAAGAGCAATTCTATTTAGGACTAGTTGGATTTTTTTTCAGTAGCATTTTTAAAAATTTCCTCATCCCKCTAAGACTTTCATTAAAATTTCATTCCAATAGAAAAATATCAGTCTTTAGTATATCATATATTAGAAATATTTAAAATACACCCATACAATATGAAAAGTTTCTGAAACAGGACACAGCCTATATATTTGGTTACAAAATATTGCAGTCAGCAGGAGTGACTGAAGCAGTGCAAATGCTGACACCCCTTCTCAGGACCCTTCCTTTACAAGAATTAGGCACCAGGTGGCAGCATACAGTGAATAAACGCACTTAATATTTTACTATATATAGTCCAGTTAGGAATGTTACTGCTAAAGAAGTCCTAACTTTTCCTTCCATTTATACAAACCATTTTTGTACATAACCAGACAGCTAGAAAACAACGTTACCATGTCAGCAGCACTGCAGAAAGGAGGAAGGCATGGAAAAGSCTGTGTATATAAGCACAGCCGCTATAAATGGTTTGCAAGGAGAGGCAAAAATGCAGCTCCCTTTTGCTGATGTAAAAAAGTGCACGCACCTTACATAACCCTTCACATCTTGGAAAGCACGGAGTGCTCTTTAGGCTTAGCACCATGCAAGCGAGAATATTTATTTYGGTTCCCAAACTTGGGAACAAAAGTGCGTGGCTTAATACGCGCATTTCCTACGCGACACTGCAGCTACACAAAAGGGCAATCATTTTATTGTGCATGAATTTCTGTGTACTTTAGTCCCTCAGCAATTGTTACTGAGAGAGAAAGATAGTGACATTGTCCCCATTCGAGGATGTCATAACTGGACTGAGTATTTTTGATTCAAATTCATAATAAGAATCTCTCCCCTTTATGATACAAGGATGACTTCTCAATTTGCCTGAAAGAGAAAGAACTCAAGAATGTCCTAATACCGGCAAAATCTTAAAAAACAAAAACACACACACCTCAGTGTTTTAATAAACTGTTATTCATCTCACTCAGCAMTCCTCTGCTCCATATCAGCATACGGATTATTTATCTCATTTTAAATAAAGGCATGATTCAGTGAGACCAAAAYAGGATCAGTTTTCTGGAGTGTAACCATGGAAAATCAACCTGCACAATTTCACTGAAATACTCTGCACGTGTRTATGAATGAACACTTCACAGTTCCCCAAATTCAACAGATAAAAAAACATAGTGGGATGCATAAGCACTTCAAGCAGTTGCTGACCTCCTATATGAATATTTGGTTCTGARATGGAGACTTTCTTGTACCTCTTTTATGTATTTACAGTTTAATTTCATAACTTTCAGCACAGTGCCATAAAGCAGAAGGAAACCTGAACGCAATTTTTGCTATCTACAAATCACAGAATGACTTGGCTTTGACTAAACAGTTCAAATTTTAAAATACGGTAGTCATTAAAAATACATGTGAAAGGCTACATTATTTTAATACCCTTGGGTGAATGGTTTGCAGAACTGTCATCTAAACAATCCATCCTTCTCTCCTTGTAACAAGATTTGTGAAAGCGGATCCAGGAGCTTATGCAGGACACTGAAATCAGTGGCTACACCTGAACCTGTTCTAGTGCTTGGCTGGACTAGGTCATTTTGTATTTACAGGAATAATCAGGGCCTAAAATCACTTTGAGAARTGAATGCATTTTAAATGGGTTGTTACAGCTAATCTGAGAAACAATCTTCTTGATACCAGCTATTCCAGTGCTAATAGATTTTTGATTACAATTGTACATGTGATTAAGGTAAGCTGAACACTGATGAAGCAGAAAGGACAGGACTGCCAAGAAAAGCAGTAGAAAGTATTTACAGCATTTTTTTTCTTTTTTTCGTCCTTTTCCTCCACCTGAGCAGAAAATACATAAGTATCACAAAGCAAATTGTGAAAAAAGAAAGACAAAAGATTTGCCCACTACTTGCTACTGTCCAAAAATAATCCAACAATGATAATTGATTGAAGCTTTCTGTTTCCTAACAAGGTAACTTTTCAACTGATCACCGGACAAGGCTATTATTGTAACCTACCCTTTGTTATTAAAATGCATCCTAGAGCTCTGTACCACATATTGTTTTTATAATAATCAAGCCAAATTTAAAACTCAATCATTTCTGGTTTTTATTGTTGAACAATGTCCTAAGTGTCCAAATGTGCAGCGTTAGTTTGTAGAAAGCAATGACATATAGGATATTTACATTCCTTGCAATCCAAATCCAGACCAGACACTCCTATTTCTCCATGTTTCTCATGACCACTGGGGCAAAGGCCTGTTGATTTTGTATTTTTTTAAGCTGATTTCAACTCCCATGTGACTTGTGCTTGCCATGTGTGTAGTTAATATTCAAAAATCATTGTCTATTTTGGAGACTGGTGAATAAAAAACAGAACATAGAGATGCGCTAATTATAGAAGCAGAAACAGGCTTTACTCCATACTTTAGTAATACAAAGATGCTAAAAACWTGTTTGTTACTATATGATCCTATATAACATGGCAGGTGTATGCTCTAATGCCCACATCATACTATTCTGCCTTGAGCATGAAATATTATTCTAACAGGTTTTTAAATTTAGGATGAAGATTATTCAACAGCATATTTCTCATAGGCCCAAGTATCATCTACTTCTGCAAATTAAASGTTTGCATGATGCACAACAACAGAAAGTTACACACTGTTTTGAGGGGAATTCTGTTCTTTCTTATTATTTCTAAATTTAGCAAGGAGTACTACAGGGGGGTACATATTTATATATATAAATTAATGTATACATAAGTAACATAGGCATATATGTTAGGAATCGAACAAGAATCATCTGTCCATAAATGAAGTTTTTTATGAGATGTTAAAATAATTTGTACACATRCATACTCAGACATACACATTATATATAGGAAATTCAGTCCTCTTTCCATAAAATGAAATCTACTATTACTGTGCAAGACAAATGACAATTGATACTGAATTTTGAATATCGCTGCAACTGAAAAACTTATTTAACATTTTACAAAATCTACTAACAAAAATGTAAAATATCATCTTTTTCCATAAACTGAGAGATAAATCATTTCCATTAGGATTAACATGCCACATTCTACTTAGAGATATTCCAGCACACTATAGCCTTACTAGAAACTTTATTTCATTCTAACTCCATGTAAGGCTTAATAATCTTGAAAGGACAGATTGTCTATGTAGTCTATACAGTTTCTTATCTGTCAGATAACGTGTTGTGAAGTTATGTAGCTGTACAAGTTCTACAGCAGGGGCCAGACTTGAACCCATATCAAAGTCTCTGCTTTATCATTCATTTTCCCCCCAAGTCTCCACATGAGGTCTTGTTTTGCTTGCACAGTGCACTTTTGATACAGTCAACAGCTTGCTATAGTTTGTTTAAAAATACCACATATCATTCCATAATATAACTAATTGCAGTCATACTCTTGTTTACATACTATTAATAAACAAAACAAGTTGCCCTGGGAGAATAAGCATCTGGAATCRCTGAAATTATCCAGTTGCACTGCACCAAAAAGGAAGTAAAATGTTTGAAACAACCACCTCTAAAAAGCTGTTTGGTAATGCAGCTAAGGCTMTTCCTATATCAGTTACTACMACAAAAAAAATAGCTGCTAACAAATGTCTCCTTTAAAGTAGGACTCTGTATTTTGAGGGTATTTACAGATGATCTCTATAAAGAAATCATCTGTACAGAATTATCCCTGATATCTATTCTGGCTTCAAGGAGACCCTTTCCAAACTTTCGTGCTAATAGTGCCCAACATTAAACGACCAGAAGGACAGAGGCACTTCTTTTCTACGGCTACACAGGATTCCAGGCAAGCACCTAGTAGTCTTCAGCTAGGCAGACTAGATAAACAGCAGGGCTACAGATACACAGCACTTAGAGCTGAGGATTATTTTCTCCTTCAAATCAAGTTTCCCTGTGAGCAGGCAGAGAGAYGGCTGAAGTAGAACAGCTGAAGCCACAGAGCACATCAGCTCTCACTTTATAGATCAGAAGAGGGCACAGGCAACCCCACCTGAGAGGACAAAGCCAAAAGCATTGGAACATATCTAAGAGAGTGTTTTTTTCCCCCCCACAATTTGAAGATCTACGTTCCATTGAGCAAAAATGATGGACACTGTACTTAACATACTTATGGGAAGAGTGAACATTCAGTCTTTATCTCAAAATAACTGCTAAAAAGATCCCATCCCAAATTGTGCTACAGAGTGTGAYAATCTACAAAATCTTAGGACAGATTTTGAGTTTGAAAGAAATTTAATTTCATTTTTCAAAAGTGTCAAGGAAAGAGGACAGGGGATCTGAGTAGGAACTCACCACTAAATAGAGATTATTGAATATTAATAGTTACTCTACAAGGTGAAAAATAACAACAACAACAACTTTACAAAGATGTTTCCATTAAAAAGTATATCACAAAGCATATTCTAAGAGATGCTCAGCATGCTATACAGTATGATATATATATATATATATATATATCTCACATACAACATCAAAGAATACTTCTGAAAGGTAAATTAACATGTTGTATCTCACTCCAAACCAAGTGACCCATATTACTGGAAAGCCAGAGTTCCCCAAATATTAGTAGTGAAATTCACATTTTAAAAGGATGTAAAAATACCTTAGAGAGCGTCTTTGTTCTTCTCAGGAGCTGGCTAAGTGGGATATCTTCTAGCGTAACATACGTGCTTATTTGAGAATTTGTGCTGCATTGTATGCAATGACAGAGTGCAGAGCTCTCTACTTGCTATAGTTATGCACTGATGATAGATTGTGAGTGAATTTATTTTTGTACAAGTAACAATCCTAAATGTAAATGTTTATTAGAACTTGTGTTACTGCCTCAATCGAAGACATTAGTTAACTTGCTATTGCAGTGCAGAAAATGACAGTTTGCCTCTTCATTTTACTTTTCATAAAACTTCTTATAAACATGTACCTTTATACTAATCACAATTTATATTTTAATATTTTAATATTTCATTCCAGCTTTTCAGCTGGTCCAGTTACCAGCAGCAACTAAATGGGTGAACTSACTGGAATGGTAGTAACTAGAAGACATGTAAGCCTAGGCAAAGCTTGGAAGAGTCTTGATATCTCTAGTTTGTGACAGAGTGAAAAAAGCAAGAACAAGAGAGAACACAAAGTGTGTCATGTGCTGACAGTTGAAGTGCTAAAGATTCTTCAGTAGATAAACACTGACAAAAAAAAAAAAAAAAACCACCTTAGAGATAAAGATAGACATAGAGATATAGATAAATAGCTATCGATAAATACAGAAGGATGGGAGCTCCATTGCCTCTCATCTGCAAAGTGATCATTACATAGCCAGATTTCTTGTGTAAGTCAGTGATGCAAAATACAGAAACATGGATTAAATACATAGTGAAAGAGAAGTAAGATCCCCCTRGCAGCTTACAAGTATTTCACTGAAATAGCAGAATAGAATATAGTACCTGGAAGACTGCATAATAAAGATGCCACCTTTCAGGTATACTGTCCATGGCTGGCAGCAGTGTTCAGAAAAGAATGCTTAGCACKTTTGCAGCAGCTGGGCAACAGCAATCAAAAATGCTGAGCTCCATGTCGTTTTTGAACTCTCTGACTTTATCTCCCCTGCTACAAAAAGTCTGTCTGCTCTACGGCTCCCCTCTCATGTTAAGCAAGTGAAGCTATTGGCCAAATTTGGCCCTTCAATGGGAATAACCAGGATTGGGAACTGCTTGCCATGCTATTCAATTTGMGTGTACAGATCAGAAGGCAGTATCATGCATCTAAGCAGATTTCAATACTCAGCTTCCTGCCATTTCACTCACAGTGGAACGGTACTTACCACTGCAGGTAATCTTACCTTCAGAAGTAAAATCAAATGAGTCCATTAAAGTTTATCTTTTCACACGAAAACTTAACCTAATTCCAATGATCAGCTGATCATAAATGTCAAACTTGTACTTTGCTTACAGATTCTCTGCCACTCAAAAGGCATTTAAGACAAAAAGCTTTATTAGTCTGTTTTTTCCAGCATCACACACACACACTTACAACCCACTATAGTGAATAGTAGAAAATATTTTTATTTCAATTCCAGACTGATATCATGATTGCTGTGAAACAAAGAAAAAAAAATTCTTTGTACTCACCCCAGCTTTTGGTTTAGCTCCAGCACTGGCAACTGAACAGGAAGATCCTAGGTCAGGAGCATGAATATTAGGAGACAAGCTTGTTTGCGAGTGATTTACTGAAGCAACATCCACTCCACTTTCAGAACCAGATTCAACATCCTGTTTAAAAAAAAAAAAAAATCTAGTACATATGAATACAAAATAAAAATTAAGTTCTTCTAAAATAACATAGGTTTATACACTATATAGATAGAGATAGAGCGATAGAGAAGGATTCTTTTCTGTTCCCTAGCCATTCTCCCGCTTGTGGTGGTTTGCATTAGCTGCTGTTCTGAAATTATAAATCATCACCAACATCAAAGCTCTAATGGGCCTAAATGGCAGAATGCAAGGTAAGAAGAATCAGTTCAGGGCTGCAGAAGCCTGACATTTTTCTGTGATGTTCAGTATTTCCTGTGCGCTCCCACCTTCTGTCTCCGGCAGCACTGTGAGCTCACGAACATCTGTAAACTGTTATACAGCTGAAGTGACCTCACCAGGCAGCAGCTTATACAATTCAGAGGTACAACTCCTGAGCTTGTAGGACCAGCAAAGACTAACCAGAACCAACATTCGGTGGTAAAAGTGCCCTGTTTTTTATGGGACGGTTGCGTTCCTCTTTTGGAAAGGAGGAAGAAGAGGAAAAATAGGATGATTTATTTTTGAGGAAGATAGGAATTTAAAAATASAGTGTGTGCTTGATTTACTGTTTATGATGAGAGCGGGAGACAATACCACTAACATATAAATTGCGACAAATATCTAGCAAAAAAAACAGCTGGATTAAAATATAATTGTATCCTTTAAAAATAAGGCTATCATATATTCTTCAGTTGACCAAAACTACTGTAAATTTAATATTGTTTAAATTAATAAGAAGTCTGTATGAAAGCACCTTGGCTCAGTCACTTCATGTTCTTCACAGCTTTATATGTAAACACACAAAAAAATTGTTTGTGAACTGCATACTCTGCCTTTTCACTACTCTCAGCAAAGGGGCCTATGATCTAAATAAATGCACAGGATACTCCCAGAGCTTTATTTCACATGACAGAATATTTCTTAAATATGTCTCTGCAAAAACCAACCAACCAACCAACCTGAACCCTACCTTTAGCAGAAAAACAAGACCTGTAGCTCATACTTGCAGTCATAACTATTTAATGACACATGCACATATGCCCGGAGACTGGTGTGATCCTGACTCCGTGCTGATTCTGTACTTACAGTAAGTGGTAAKAAGAAAGCCAGACATTTTCTGAACATTGTTCATCACCTTTTCTTTTACTGGAGAACCTCTGACACTCTCATCTACGAAAGGATGCCGAAAGGATCTGATGGATACCACCACTTACTGTCCTTAAATCATATATAATTAAGGAGCAACACACTTTTTTCTTCACAAAAAAAGAAAAAGTTATTTCTTTACAAAAATAACTTCTGGTCTAAAATCAAACTTTAAAAACACAATGAATGGAAAACAGAAGATAGGGAAGATTCTGCTTAGAAAAGTAAGAGAGATTAAGCAAGCTTGCTCACAGGTATATGCCTCCGCTTGTAGGTTGGGGTGCTGGATGGGGAAGAGCTGGCACTGAGAGCGTTTTCAATATCCTGATCGAGCTGGTCCAGTTTCATAATTAACAGCACCATGGAGTCCAGGCGTGACCGATCCCGATCTTCTCTCACCTCCTAAGGAACAGAGCATACAATTGCTACATCTAAAAGGACATTCCTTGTAAAGAATAGTAAAGCTCTCTATCTCTGTATTTAACAAAGTATACTGAACAATAGACTTTTTTTTTTTGAGGGAGGAGGGAAGGTCCCTTCTCTTATACCATCAATTGATCATGAAAAGAAAGTTACTTGCTGCCAAGAATACATTTTATGTAAGTATTTAATATACTTCCATTAAAATAGCTAACTCTATCAGCAATATAGATCTTCCAACCGGAAGAGAGAAGAGCAACGAGTCATCCCAGTCTTAAAGACTTAGTTTACCCAGCCTCTCTCGTTATATCCCATTTGTAGCCAGTGGAAACAGGTGAGTTCCTGAAAATGTCAAGTTAAAGCAAGACCTTACATGAACTAAAGAGCTGCTTCCTCCCTTATCCTTTTATGTATAGTCAGCACTTAGGCTAGCCAACTAGTCTGTCTCAAGGCTCAGGAGCATGAAATTGCCCATCACTTTCTTTACGAATTTCCACAATAGGAAATTGCAAAATAAGGAAATTCCATTAAGTGCTTTCAAATAATATTTTTATAAATCCTTTTGAGAAAKAGAAACAAAACTGATTATTATTGTTATTATTGTACCATTGTGCCCAAGAAGTAGGGAGAATAAAAGCCCAAAGCAGACAATTTTTATAGGCAATAATCTGCTTTGCAAGCTCTACATAAATTTCTCTATTTAGTTAGGATGCAGGCTTTTAAAAACTGCTCTGATGATCTGCAAAACATGAATGAAATAATTTCCACTAGAATTAAAGGAACTATATAGATAAGATGGTCATATAAAATATGCTTTATATGTTCTCAACTGCTGATGGCAGAGCTGATTGAAGATTATTTAGCTAAGMCTTAGAAAAGCTGGAATACAAACCTATTATACTATAGCAGTTATGAAAATATGTTATACAGACAAACACAAGGCAACTAGTTGTGCACTTCACTTCTCATTAGTACATGATGTTTTGGACTGGCTTGCTGAAAGCCTACAAAGCTGCCGTACCTCCTGGTGAACCTGAACTGAGGTAGGAACGAGTCTGATGTGAAAATAACAGAAAACAACAGAGCAATCAGCACCGGGAGCAAAGTTGCACATTCCCTCAGACTGAAAACACAGCATCCCAACTACGTCTGTCTTCATTTTAACTGAGACTAAATTTTTGTCTCAAGTTTGCAAAATTTGGAGCAATTATTTCATCTAATTTGCTGGGACACAGAAGTCTGAAGCTGCAAATGAGTGGTCACAAAGAAGACATGACCTCCTCACACCATTTTACCTGCTGTGTACGCCACACAGCAACACTGCAATAGGGGAGAGTAGTYGTACAGCTTCTAGAACTAGGTTCCCACAAGGGCCTCTAGCATGATTTAYGTATGTTTCTATCAGCTTCACTCGGAAACAGAGCACTGAAAAGGCTAATCAACATAAATTTTATGCTTTATTTAAGGGAGAAAAACACAAGTAAATTAACCAGCATGAAAGGAGTAGTGATGATTGGATATGTTAAAATCTCTCTCTTTTTTTTTTTTTCTTACTAAGTGCAGACTGGAGAGAGAGYAGGTGTTTTACATGAAGAGGAAGAGAGAGAAAAAAAAGAAAAAATAAAGTAGTTATTTGGATAAATCTGAAGTTTTCCCTGAGTAAACTTTTTGACTTATTCTGCCAAATAACTGTAAGCTTGCTTAGTGCTTAGTAGCAAATTGAGAACATTGGAGAAGACTCTGCTGAAGTGAAGAGGTGGCAAAATATTGCTCAAAGCCATGTTGAGGCATGACACAACAGGTCAAGTTTGTRGGCAAACACTTCTTCTAGAAAACACAAATATTACCAGTGCGGTATTTAACTACATTATTCAGTGCCCCTTCAAGAGCAGCCACAACCCCACACTATCACCATGAGAAGTTTCTAACATTTTGACCACAGATCTGATTTGTACCATTTACTGAACATCACAATAATCTCATGCTGTCTGGTCAGGTCACAATGAAATTGTACACATAAAAGCCTAAAAACTCTACTGGGAAAAATTAACATATATAAATAAAAAAAAAAGCTAATCTCGTGTTAGAAATTTAATAAGACACACTAAATAAATATTATCATAGGATTAATTTATGTTTAGAGTTTTAGCCTTGATATTATCTAATAAATTTCCAAGACTTTTATAGCCTGTTTGTCTTTTCTGTATCTTCCTTGTGTGTATACTCCGAGATCTTGTTACCAATTTGTGATACGATCTAAGCTAGCAAGATATTAACAATTCATTTGGTTTCTTTTGAAGTGATGATAGTATTTCCTCTGCATCCAGCCTCTAGCATTTTCCCCCAACATTGATGGATTACCTTCAAGATTAACACACACCCATATAAATTGCATTTGTAGAATGTGATTTACTTCTGCCTCTAGTGTTATGAAGTAAAAACTCCATCATGAGAAGGCGCCTGGTTCAAGACTGTCTTTGCAATATTACATTTTTTTCTTTAGGTATTTACATTGGGCAGTTCAAAGACGTATTGCAAAGATACGTCAGGTCGATCTTGGGATGTTTTTTGTCTGGAGATTTTATTTTCAGTATGTCTCCAAACACAAAGAGGAAACACTTTAGGTCATGAACTGGAAAAGCCCAGTTTCTTTTAAGTTTGAACCTTACCGGTTTGATAAGTTAATTAAAATTGCATATATTCATATACTAAGAACAAAACACRCTGTATATATTCCCAGATTAAAATATGTTTTGATTACTCCTAAATCAAGCATTTAAAGCCCCAAGTTGAGGTGATAGTGAAAGAAATCCAAATATTTTTACAAGGACAATAGTTCACAAATCCTGTTTTTACGGAGAGCACACAACACTTATGCAATGARAACAGATGAGATTCAGCCACTTCCTCGGCATTTCTGTCACTTAGGAGTTTATATTGTTATTTTAAAGAATTACAATGTTTTGTTTTTTCCATGAGCATTGCAGTGCCTTCAGCTGCTTGGCCATCTTTCTGGTACCAAGCGCCCTTGTGAGTGGATCTACCAACGGGRGCTGTTGTTATTTTAACTGGAAGCCTCCGTGGCACTGGTGTTTGGCATCGACAGCACTCGGCAATTTCTGAATGCCATGTTCTTTGTGCACTATGTCATATTGTGGATTTTGAGTTTTTCCACAGAAAACACAGTGTAAAAGCAGCCTTATCCAGAGGAGTTCTGAAAACACTAAGAACCTACTTTGTTCTGCTTGGAAGTTGCAGATTTTATACCTTACATTATCAGCCTTTTGCAATGAATCTGGAACAAAAAGGCAGCAGCCAAGCAGGACAAAATTAGCCACGTTTGGATTTAATACATCTGTTTTGTGTTATCAGGGCAGAGCAAAGCAATTGAAGCAGATGTCCTTCACTTCCTCTGCCTCCTAAACCTTTTTTTCCCCCCCGCATGCTTTTTTTGTCCTTTCTATAGCCACTGTTTTACACTTTTACCTACAGAGAAAGAGTCAGAGGTTTCTGCCTATAGCAGTTCCTTTCCCCCTTACCTCCTCCAGGCTGCTGGGCACCATTTTACAGCTGCAACTCTCTGGGCCCTTCAACACCCTCCAACCTTTCTGGACATAAAGCACCCAAATTGTTCCACATTAACCACTATGTGGGTGCTATCTGGCTCTCATGTGCAGGCTCCTTCGTCCCATGGCTGCACAGCAGCGGGTGCCACCCACATGAAGGGCCCGGCCTGCACCAGCACCTGGGGCTTGTTGCCTTCCAGCTGCCTCCCCAGAGCTTCTGCGCAGCCTCAACCTCTGAAGGGCCAAAGCCAAGGGCAGAAAAAACACAGACCTGTGTGATGATATTTATCTATTTATTTATTTATTAAAAATTGYCTCAGTAGGGTGGAAAAGATGAGATCCTCTCTCTTTAATTAGTTAATTTATTTTTCAGAAATGGCCCAAAGGAAGTTAGATTGGTAATCCAACATGYGTCATATGAAGTAAAAAGCCTCACAGTAAAAGGCCTGGGTTAAACAGCTCCCTTGGCAGATGCTGAAGAGATGATAACTTCCTTTAGAACACTTTCACCACAAAGGTAATACTGTTTTTAAAAGTAGTCAGGAAAACCCTGGGATTAAGGGTCAGATTTGTACTCTAAGCACAACGCCTATTTACATACTCAGAAATCTCAAATCCATATAGATTCCTTCCTGATGCTGCATGGAGCACACAAGCATAATTGCACATCACATGTAGGTATTGAGAATCATAGAATGCTTAAGGTTGGAAGGGACCTCAGAGGTCATCTAGTCCAACCCCCTGCACACACAGGGTCACCCAGAGCACGGGGCACAGGGCTGCGTCCAAGCGGGTTTGAAGATCTCCAAAGAAGGAGACTCCACAACCTCTCTGGGCAGCCTATTTGCAGATGGACCAGACCAGACCAGACCAGACCAGACCAGCTCAGAAGGCAGAAGTCCCAAGGTCCCATGGCAGGATGCACCCAGTTCCATAGCAGGGCAGCTGCAGCCCCAAGCCCACCTCAGGGCTAGCAGCCACACTCACTCACCCACAACAGAAAGGCAGCTTTTATGGGAGGGCTGGCTGCCTTTCCTCTGCTATCTTTGATCTGCAGCCAGCTGGCCTGGCTTAAAATCTTTATTAACGTTATGTATTTCAGATGGCATTAAATTCCTCCTCCCTGTCTTGCCTGGCTAAAAAAAAAGAGACTTTTCTTGAAAAATGGAACGTTATTAAATCYCTGTTTTTTGGACTGTGAGGGTGTGCATCTGAACTGAAGGCATGCCTTAAGAATAACACAAAATATCCTACTTGGGGATTATATGCATTGACTTTTACTAGCAGGTGTATAAACCAAATGCGTAATTTTTACCCTTTTACTCTGCAGTGAACAACTCGCAAACTTTAGAGTAAAAAAGAAAAATTTTACTTTTCTCTGAATTTTATACCCTGCACTACCACGTTAGAGTYTTC